TGTCTCCCTGAGGCTCTTTTCATGTTTCTTCATTATTTTTCCTTTCTGTTCTCCAGCATACACAATCTCAATCTATCTTCATGTTCATTTATTCTTTCTCCTGCTAATTCAGCTCTACTGCAGAGCCCCTCCAGTGGGCTTTTTAAAAAATTTCAGTTATTGTACTTTTCAACTCCAGAATTTCCACTTGGTTCTTTTTTAAAATAATTTCTATCTCATTATTGATAATCTCTATTTCGTAAGACATTATCCTCATCCCTTCCTTAATTCTTTACCATAGTTTCCTTTAGTTCTGTGAAATGTTTACAATGGCTACTTTGAAGTGTTTTCTGATAAATATGACACCCTGTACTGCCCACAGGCAGTTTCTGTTGCTTGCTTTTTCAGATATATGGGTTGTACATTCCTTTCTTTGCATGCCTCATAATTTTTTGTTGGAAATTGCACACTACAGTTAATATAACATAGCAACTCCGGGTACTAATCCCCCTCCTCTGGGGCCTACTATTATTTATTTGCTTATTTGTTTAGTGTCTGGCTCGATTATTTTAGTGAAGACTATTCCTTTCCACCTCCCCACCCCAAACGTGCTGAGCCTCTGATGTGTGTGGAAGGACCGTGCGGCTTTGGGTAGCCCACAGTCCCCCTGAGATAACAGTGTTTGCCCAGGAGACCCCCCCTTCCCTGGCACCTGGTTGCCAGCTGATTGCTCTACTCTTGTCAACAATGCCCTGGGCTTGTAAATTCCTCTACAAACTAAGCCAATCAAGTTCTGGCTTCCTTGGTTTCAGAGGTCAGTGTTTGATATTTGTTTGACTTCAGGAGGCTCCTCCCAGTTTCCTTATTTCGGGGTTCTCTCCTGTGAACTGGCCTCTGATTCAGCCTGGATCCTGACTCTTCCCCCACTGCTCTTATCCACTCTTTCACTGCTTTGAGAATGCCCTTGGGGCGCAGTCGGCTAAGTGTCCAACTTTTGGTTTCCGCTGAGGTTGTGATCTCAGGGTTATAGGGTTGAGCCCCACGTTGGGTTCTGCACTCAGCACGGAGTCTGCTTAAGACTCTCTCTCCCTCTGCTTCTGCCCCCACCCCCCTTCTCTCTCTAAAAATAAATAAATCTTAAAAAAAAAGAATCACAATGAGCTCAAAGGGTTAAATATATTTGATCTGTTTCATTCAGCTGCAGTTGTGATTCTCAGTGATGCTCAAGCTATCATATCTCTGGCCAGTGGGACCCTAGTTAAGTTGGCTCCTGAGTCCAACCTTAGCATCCCTTAGTAACTTCCTTGACTTCTAAAAATGAATCCAGGCTTTTCAGTAAAAATACTGATTTAACAATATACCCATATTGGAATATGCGAAATATATGTAGTCAGCACATAGCAATGCTTCTAATTCAAATTTAGGACTACAAGGTTTCTATTAACTTCATTGATCTTAAATCTGTATCTTCTTTTTACCATGCCAAAAAAATTCAGTTCTCAACACTATTTGGGACATTTGAGCTGTTTTCAGTCTTTAGTCATTAAAAATTGTACTGAATAAAATGTCTTTTAAGTAGATCTTTTGAATTCTTGCCAGTGTGTGTTTAGGATCTATCCTTAGAAGCATATCTGCTGGGTCAAAGGGTAAATGCAAATGCAATTGTGTTAGATATTGCCAAATCCTCTTGGGGGTTTCAGCACTCAGCATCACCCAGTCAATGTGTGGGATGCCTGTTTCCACACAGCCCTGACAACAGAGTGCAACCAAACTTCTGGGTTTCTGACAATTGAATGTGTAAAAAAAGGCCTCAGGGTATTTTTATTTCTAACTCTCTTGCTGTGAGTGAAATGAGGGGGTCTGTTTCTCTCAATGTGATGTTCTGCTTTGGCTAAGGGTCATGCAACAGCGACACAGAAAGGACATTTGTAGGAAAAGTGGACTGGACTGAAAATCCCTACCTAACAATTCATCTTAAAATGACCCAAGATTGGAAGGACCCCTGGTCACAAGACAGAAGCAGATACTAAGTTTTGCTGGAAGAATTCAGACATGTCAGAGAAATTCCCGAAGAAAAGTTCCAAAAAATATAAACTCACAGTCAAAAATCACAAAATTCACCAGGAAACAAGGCACCATGAGTGAGTGAGCAGAAGAAATGGACAAAAGAATTAGACCCACAGAATCTTCAAATATTGATATTATCACTCAGTAATGTAAAATTAGTTTAATATGTTTAAAGAAATAAAAGAATGAATTGAAAATGTGATGGATGAAAGCTATAAAAATACAAGAAATCAGAAAAACAACACAAAACTAACAGAATTGAAAATCGTAACTACTGAAATTAAAATCTGAATGAGTTTAACAGCACATTTGATATAACTGATAAGAAAATTAGTGAACTAGAAAGTAGAACTGAAGAAATCGTCCAGAATGAAGCAAAGACCCCTACAAAGGAATGGAAAATACAGAAGGGCTGGTGAGAAACACAGCTCACTGAGGGAGATGGTCTGAGACACGTGTGGCTGGAGTTTGAGAAGGAGAAGGAACGGAGAATCGGGGAGAGGCAATGTGTGAGGAGATAAGACCCCCGGCTCACACAACGGAGTGAAGAGCCAGCAGGTACACAGACGCACTCCCTTAACTGTCGAGAGGAACCACAGAACAGTAAAGACGGAGACCAGACAGAGCCCTTCTGAGGAACGGTGACAAGACTGACCGCTGAACCCTCAGCAGCAGCCATGAGATGAATGAGACCCTCACCCGACTTAGGGAGAAAACTGCCGGCAAGGGCTGTATTCCTGACCAAACTCTCCTTCCAGAACAAGAACAGAACAACTTTTCCAGGCAAAGAGAACTGAGAACGCTCGTTCCTCCTGACCCTCACTAAAGGAAATTCTCAAGAGATTCGTTAGGCAGGAGGACAATGTTTCCAGCAGAATCAGTGCTAACTGTGGGGCTGCGGAGTGTGTGGGGACACAGACAGGACCCAGAGGCCAGTGTCCACCTCTCATCACACCCATGGCTCCAGGTGGTGGAATCGAACATCCACAGTCCATGGACTGTTTGGGGGGAGGGAAAGAATACCGATTAATCTTAGATCCGAACAAGTAATCACATATTAAAATTTCTGAGATAACATGAGAGAGTGCCTAACTTCCCAAATATCAGAATGAGAAAAGAAACCCACTCCATCCAAAATAAGGTACAAAAAGAGAAAAGAAAAAAAAGGTGAGCCAAGGGGCATTGAGCAGACTCATGAGGTTCTGAATATGATTTTGAGGAACTCGGCAAAGCCTGAGGACATGGTGCCCCCAGGACAAGAGCCAAGACTGGTGCTCTGCCCTGCTCCCTGTGAGCCTGAGCACTTCACACACCAATTAGGAACAAATGCGGTCACCCCAATGGGCTGTGGTCTCCCAAATAACAACATGTTGAATATTTAAACCTACGTATGATAATCCCATTTCCCACCACAAATAGACTAATGCAAACTCAGCATCCTCAAACACTGACAGCCTATCCTTAAGTCCTACTCCCATGCACCCTGCAATCAAGCTCTTCCTTGTCATCAACGTGTCGAGTTTCCCCTTGACATTGGACCTGGAAACCACACCCAGGTTTGGCAGCAGAAACACTCTCTCTGAAGTTTGACATCCTCCATTTCTCAGAAGAAAAACCAGGACAGACTGAACGAGCAGCTTTCTGGATAGGGCCGAAGTGAGGATTGGAACCCAGGACGGACAGGCCCCCCAAACTACACGACAGTCTTACTGGGGCTGACATTGTGGACAACGACGTTTAGCACAACGTGCTGCAGTGAGAAAGGCCAGTGTGCTCCTGCAGATGGCGGGGGCAGTGCAGGGGGCCATGCAGGGGGGCTGGGCAGGGGGGCCGTGCAGGAGCTGGAGAAGGAAAGGTCCCTGAGGGGAGGTGGACAGAGACAGAATGGGAGTTTCGCAAGTTAGCATTGTCTCTATGTTGTGCTTTTAAGAGCCAAAGAAGGGACTCTGGGTCAGCCCTGACACCCCCCCCAGCCAAGGCTGGTCTCTGCCCCGCCACCCTCCATGAAGTGCACGCTAGGTCTCCTGTTGATGTCCTAGGACCTGCACTTTAGGTTTTGTTTTTTTTCTGTAGCACTTGGTAACCCACCTTTAGAGCTTTTCCTGCGTGAAACTACGGCTGTGACATGACCCCCCGACAGTCCCTTTGCTCCAGATTCCGGAGAGCCACAGGTGTGGCCCCATGCCAGGAGCTGGGGCACCAGCCTCCATGCCAGGAGCCACAGATGACCACCAGCTGCCTCCAGCCAAGCCCAGAGCCTGGAAAGGACAGGCTGGAGGTGAGGTGGGGAGGGGCAGGCCCATCCTCCTGCTGCTGGCTGAGCTGGAGCCCTCAAGCCAGCAGTCAGCACAGAAGCATCCCAGGCGCATGCCCGATGGAGACGGGGCCTCCAGAGAGAGACCCTGCTGTCGGGTCCCCACTCCACCAGGTGTAGCCCTGAGAGCCCCGACTGTATCAACACCGAGCTGACCCCGCTGTTTCCGTTCAGGTGCTGCTCCCAGCACTGCTTCCCCGGTAGCTGCATTATGCTCATCCACACGACGGTACAACAAGTCCGCTCTGTTCCTGCCGAGCATGTGCCAGCCAGGCCCTGGAGCTCTGACCAGAGCCCCCACCCTCGCTGCGACACTCCCTCACTGCCCCATCACGGTCTTTCCTTGGAGAAGCCACCCTGGCTGCACTGCCCCCCGAGGCACGCATGAGCCTTCCCTGGTTCTCACTAAACCCCATCAGGTCTGATCGCTGGTGTGGTGAAGGGGTGACCCAGGAGCCTCTCGTCAAGCCATGAACATCAGCAACTCAGTGCTGCACCTTGCCCTTCACCCCCTGGGGGTTTGAGGCTTCGTAAATCTTCCTGATAACCCAGCACTGAGAACAGATTAGCCGTGGGTAGCTGCTGCTCACTTCTGTACCCAGTTCAACAACATACAAGTGACAACTGGAGACTAACTGGAGACTGTTAAAAGCAAGTATTTACGTGTTTACAAAGCACATCCTCAGGACGGCCCCCGTTTCATTCCCGAGCATGTGTCGGGACCACTTCTGGAACTGGTGGGTCTGTCACTGCTTCTGCGGTCACACAGTGGTCCACCGAGGGACTGGCATCGAGGATCAAGGGTGGCAAAGGCCTGGGTCCTAGGGCAGCCACACCAGAAGGCGAGAGAAATCGCACTACTGACCCCGTGTCCTGCGAAAGGCAACCGCCCCCCTTGGGGTCTGCTCGGAGGCCCATGGCTCTCTGTCCACATTGTCACTGGTGTTCCTTTCTTTTCTTGGTGCTTTTAAATCCTCGTGATGCACCCTGACCGAAACAGATGGTAGAAGGTATTCTGAAAAGGAAAAAAGTCCTTATACTAAACCATTACGGTTTTTGCCAATAAAAAACCCAACTCATAAAAGCAGCATCATCATGAGTATGCTCTTCTTGTTCTGGGGGGGCTCCTTCTCTTTCACTTTGTGGGACATTCAGCCCATGGGCACTCCTTTCCCTGGATGCCCTGTACCCCAGGCCCCAGGGCAGCTCCCTTCCTGCGGCTAGCCAGCTGCCTCGGACCTGCTTCCTGAGGGACACTCTCCCAGCCGGCAGCGTGCTTGCCTGGGACACTCGGCCAGGAGGGCCATTGATGCCAAGCTTCCAGGCCCAGGCTTCCTGTGACCCAGCATCTGGAAGAAGCCACGGGCATCCAGGACCCACTTGCAGGCCAAAGTCTGGGTGGGAGCGCGAGGGCAGCGGGAGGGATACAAGCCCATCTTCCTGTCTGTTTGCATTTGTTGGCAATCTCTTTTCTTCTGTCCAACATTTTCCCCAAAATTAGACTTAAAATCAAGTTTAACCCAATAAGAGAATAATTAGTATGAGAAAGACTTGTAGATCATAACCTTAGCAACTACAGCCAGTGGTCCTTCTATCCCAGTTTAGGCCACGATGCAAACAGGAGGGGGTGCCTTGCCTTCCGGGGTCCCAAAGCAGGGCAAGCACAAGAAACTGAGACATTCAAGAGAAACAGAAATAGGCTCTCAACCGCTGCGGAAGCCAACACTCCGACCCAGCATCTGCTTCTCTCTGTGAGACTACCACCCAGGGTCAAGCCCAGCGTCATCCTCATAAAACACACATTCAGAACTTGCTGCAGACAGACGGCAGGTACTAACCTGTGGCTGTATATCCACCGCTCGCCCACGGGTTCTGGGAGGGGGGCTGCGTGTTCAGAGCAGACTTCCATGGCGTCCCCTCCCGACTGCTCCCCATCAGCCCCCAGAGCTTCTGCCGACATTCGTACAGCGGCCACCGGCGTGGCTGGGCTGTGGAGACAGAGGGGTGAGCGGTGGCCCCTGTGACCCTGTCTTCTCTCACGGACCAACTCACCACAAAAACACTACTGTTTCTTGCAAAAATATTTTATAGCTATCCTGGCATACTGTAATTCTTAGACTACCAAGACAAAGACAAGCATTACGACAAAATCCCAAGTGAACATTAATATAACAGGTGCCATGTTTATAAGCTTAGTAACAATTACACTTTATCTTTTGAAAATAGTATTTCTGGGGTGCCACGTGGTAAATGCCTACCAAGGGAGCTGAAAGTCTTTTCATGACCATACGTGAGAAATGTACTAACGTTAACTACAGAGTACTGAGAGTCTCCTCCCTAACCCCTACTGGACCCAGCATTGCAGGGCTTTTCTCCTTGAAATGATCCCTCCAGAAGGAGAGAGCTACCTCACATCCAAAGCCTCCCACTGTCCCATGCTGCAGTGTGCTTTCAGAATTACATTACTTTAAAGAGCAAAGTCCCGCTGAGAGAAACTGGTCTGAAAAAACCTCAATCAACACAATTCTCAGGAGGTTCTGAAGGACCACTCAAAGAATCACTTGAAAGAGGCAAAGAAATACAACACAAATTCAAGAATTACCCCTGAAGCATTTCCCAGGTGCACTCTTAACAGTGACAGTGGCAAAGAGCTTTATTGTCAAGTCACCAACCAGACAAAAAAAATCACAGGGTCAGTGTGAGGGGAGGGCCTCACAGCCTGGGACAAATTCCCAGGGGCTGTCAGCACCACGTGGGGCCGGCACCTGGGAGGGGGGGCGAGGTGCAGGTACAGCTCTAGTGTGAGTGCAGAGAAAGGGGTGATGCTCCTAGACGCCCCGGGGGCAGACAGCGCTGAGACCCCACTCATTCCCAACAGAGCAGCAAAACCATCCCCTACTGGTTCAAGCCCTCCTGACGAACAACTGCTGATCGGTCAGTGATTCCGTATCTGCAGCTAAACGTGACATAAGTAATGCAGATGCTTCACTACAGCACCATCCTTAGAATCTCTACACCCAAAATGCTCTTCTAAATTCAATGGCCTGCAGCTTTTGCTTTGTGTCCCGCCTCGCATACCCTCTGCTTTTCTTCGGTTTATCAAATCGGAAGTCGGCTGGGTAGAGGTGACGTCTCACCAGGTGATCCTTCCTGTCTTTGCTGGTCTTGAACTTCTCTGTACAGCCTTCCACCAGGCACTGATACTGAAACGTAAATGATGTCACCTCTGTCCTGACCCCCACCTCCATGGTGCCCCCTCACCTGGCCCCTGACCCCCACGGCGCTGGTACCCACTAGGCAGACAGCTCAGGAACAAGCCCCCCGCCCCCTCCCCCCAGCCCCAGATGACTGCACTTGGGCCCAGTGGACGCGACGCATCACCCACCATGTCCTGCCTTTCGGACAGGATCTGGAACAGCGAGTCATGCCACTCCAGTATGTGGATGTCCAGCAGGTGGACGGAGGGGAAGGCCCGTCTGCAGAAGGAGCAGACGTTTCTGTGCAGAGTGTGGTAGTGGTGCTCATAGTCCTCCAGGGAGTCGAACACCTGGCAGCACCCTGCTACCTGACAGGTGAACTCGGGCACCCTGGCGAAGGAAACCACCTCGTGGGAAGGCCACTCTGCTGCTAACAGAGGGCCTCAGGCTGCCGGTCCACACCTGTCCTCCAAGTAGCCTGATAAAGCATTGATGTTTCCTTCCCAATCCCAAACCACATTCTCGCGGGCCAGCTAGGAGGCGGCCAGGCCAGACCAGAGGGGCGTGGACGGTGGCTGGGCAGAGAGCGAGGCAGCAGGTCACCCGCTAGGGGCGGGCGGGGCCCGGGGAGGGGGCGGTGCTGGGCCCAGAGCCACTCACCTGGGCCTCTCAGGCGCCCCTGTCACCTGCGTGAGCACGTCCTGGAGGTAGAGGTGTCGCTGCACATCCCCGTCCTGCGGGACACGCACGTGGTGGGCGGGGCCGGGCGCGGTAGTCCCGTTTCTCCGGCGTCCGCAGGCTCCGCCCCCACCATCGGTCCCGCCCCGCAGGCCCCGCCCCCACCCATCGGCCCCGCCCCGCAGGCCTCGCCCCCACCCATCGGCCCCGCCCCGCAGGCCCCGCCCCCACCCATCGGTCCCGCCCCGCAGGCCTCGCCCCCACCCATCGGTCCCGCCCCGCAGGCCTCGCCCCCACCCATCGGCCCCGCCCCGCAGGCCCCGCCCCCACCCATCGGTCCCGCCCCGACTGCAGGCTCCGCCCCCACCCAACGGTCCCGCCCCACAGGCCCGCCCCTCCCGCCGGCCCCGGCCCCGCCCCCGCCCGGAGTCGGCCGCATCCGCGTCGACAGCTACCTCCTCGCCGTTTGGCTCACCCACCTCGAAAAACTCGTGGTCCCGCGGGAAGCGCACCCGGCGCGCCGCGAAGTGGAAGGGCGGGGCCCCAGCCGCGGGGTCCCGCTGCACAGGCAGCGGCTCGGCCGCCCCGGGCGCCCCCACCAGGCGGGAGTGCAGCGCGGGCGGCAGCTGCATCACCCTGCGCGCCAGCGGCACCGCAGCCTGCCGGCCCCCGTCGGCGAGCGGCCGGGCCGGAAGTGACGTCGCGCCACTTCCGCTGCCGGCGCGGGCTGCTGAGGGGCTTCGGCGGGCTGGGCCCGGACGCGGGGTGTGAGCGGTGAGTCCGGCGGGGGGCGGCGGCGCCTGAGCCTGGGGGGCGGCGAGGCCGGGCCGGCCCTCCTTCCCTGCGCGCTCGTCCGGCGTGCGCAGCGCTTCCCCGCGTCGACTGCCCGCGGGCGCGGCCGGCCGGTGGCTCGCCCCTGGGCCGCGCGCCGCCAGGCTCCGGCGCCGCCCTGGCCCCTGCGGCGTCCCGCCCACGGTCGGGTCCCCACACGGGACCTCGGCGTTCCCTTCGCAGGCCGTGACGCGCGGACTCCTGCCTGCAAAAGCTCGCGCTGCCCCCCTCAGCCGCACTGCTCGCAGCGCGGCCGCCTCCCGCCGGAGGGGCCGGGGCGACCCCGGGGTCGTTCCTGCCTGCGGCCCGTCACCAGACCGGAGCCAGAGTGGTCTGTGGACAGTTCGCGCTTCACGGTGGCGCGTCTTGTTGGAAGCCCTTCGGCGGCCTCCCGTGACCGTGGTCCCCCTGGTCCGGGGGCCCTGCCTGTTGCGCCTGCCCTTCTAGTGCCCTGCATCCCGTCAGCGCCTGGCATGTGCCGGACGCTGTGCCCGGTGCCCCCCGCGGAAGGAGTAGAGGCGGGCTCTGCCACCTCGGAGCCTCCTGCCGAGCTGGGGGGACGACTGTGCAGCAGTCACCTCATTACAACGCTGATGGATGATCAGGGGATGCCACTGCTGGGGACGCTGGGGACTGGCCGTGGGGGGTGGGCGGGATGGCCCCAAGGCGGACTGTCCACTCCTCGCACAGGTGGTTCAGCGTGGAGGAGGACGTGCACACGCATGCACGCAATGGTCGGGAAAAGGGGTCTGTCTTTAACAAATTAAAAAATAGCTTTGAAAAGTATAATTAACTTATCTCATTCTGGAAGTAAAGGTGTGTGGCTACGTTCCCAGTCAATCATTTTTGCAGCTGGGAAGAGCTCTGGACAGACTCTGTTTTTCATCTCTTACGAAAAAGCATTAGGAGTCGACTTTTTTTCACAAACTGTCTAATGTTTTCCAAGCCCATTTGTGCAATTAGCTTTGAGCCCTCAGCGAACACTCGCTGCCACCTCTCTGCCTAACTCATTCCTGGGGAAATGTGCAGTAGGCGCCCTTGCCTCCACCCTCTGCGCAGCTCACGCTCGGGGAGGAGGGGAGTTCTGCCCTGTCACAGACGTCTGTGTTTGCGGCCACTAACAGAAGAACTCAGGAGCGTCAGAAAGATCTAGTGGGCTCTTGGGATTAGATGCTCCTCAGTGTTGTTTTCAGAGGGGATGCTGTGGACATTTTTGGTGGGGTGCTTCTGTTGGTGTTTAGGTTCTCTGGTCTCCTGCCCACCGAATACCAAGAGCACCCTTCTGGTCACTGTGACAACCAGAAGTGTCCCTTACACATTTCCAGATGTCCTCCCAGGAGAGGTCCTGCTTGCAGCTGAGAGCAGGTTCTTGCAGGAATCGTTCCAGATCTCCACAGAGAACTGGCTTCCTTGTACATTAATATTTGTGACGTGGGCATGTCTGTGCTTGTATTTTTACCACAAACACAAGGTTTTGTGCAGATAGTTTTAAAATAAACGTTCTCTCAGATGATCATTCTTCTGAAGTGCTGTCTCCACCTGCTTGTATCTGGTGGACAGCTGTTTCCTTTTGGTGGGAAACAACGTGCTTGCCATCTAGCATGACAAAGGGTCCTCAGTCCAGCCAGTATAGGACAACCCACATTCCTTGGGAAACCTTGTAGCACATGGATAAAACCAATTGCCCTTGGATTCAGAGAGGCCTCAGTGGGAAAGTTCCGTGTCCTCTTTGCTGTCTTGCTTGTAGTTTACAGTGCCTCGTTCGGGGTCCTCTGTGATTGGTAAGGTAACTGATGGTTTAGGATGCTGTTGGTGACTCAGATCCAGTTTTCCTTTTGTAAAACCAGCCAGTTCTCCAGTAACAACATTTGCACTTGGTCAGCCCTACGTAGTAAAAGCACACTTATTCTTGCTTCTCTAGTAACAACACCATAGGACTTGCCAAGTATGGGCCCTTTGGTGCTTTCACAGCAGCTCTGTGGGTACGATTTACTAGTCACCCTTGTCAGAAGAAGCCTAGAGAGGACAGGCTCCTTGCCTAGGGCCCTGTAGCCCAGACCTGGCCATGTCAGGGTTCAGACTGGCTGGGACTCCACAACCCATGCCCTGCTGCACCTCATGTCCGTGACTGGTTACTGTGAGCACCTCCTGATTTTACAAGTATGTGTGTTCATGCTTAACTGTTCTGCTTTTATGTTTGGAGATACCCTGGCTCTGGCCAGTTTTAAATGTTTATATACTAGGAGATGAGGGCCTCACTTTCTCGGTGTGGATTTGCAAATTAATATTCATTAGTTAATTAGCGTTGCGGGAGTGTGTGCTGAGTCTTCTCTGCTTGATGCTTGATATTTAACTTGGGCCTCGTCTTCACTACAAGTGTTAGCACACTTTTGTTTTTATAAACGGCTTTCCTCTTGCCTTTAGGAAAACCTGTTGTGATGTTGTTTCAGAGCCAAAACTATGAGTGAATTTCGGATTCACCATGACGTCAATGAGCTGCTCAGCTTGCTGCGTGTCCACGGAGGGGATGGCGCTGAGGTCTATATCGACCTGCTGCAGAAGAATAGGACCCCCTATGTCACAACCACTGTGTCTGCACACAGTGCCAAGGTGGGTTCCGTCCCGGAGCTGCGCCGGGCCCTGGGCGAGGCGGGCCCTGGGCGAGGCGGGCCCCGTCCCGGTGCAGTGCTGTGCCCTGGGCGAGGCGGGCCCCGTCCCGGTGCAGTGCCGGGCCCTGGGCGAGGCGGGCCCCGTCCCTGTGCCACGCTGTGCACAAAATTCACCAGCTTCCTGCCTGAGCAGCCACAGCATCACCAGTGTTGATGGCGGACAATGCTTGTTAAAGGCTTTTCTTGGACCAAGTATTGTGCTCAACTCAGTGCTTCTGATGATTCCTCATAGCAGTTCTTGTAACTCACCCTGTTGTACAGATGAGCAATTGGAGGCTCAGGGAGAGCGCTGGGCTGTCAGCCTGACCTCAGAACGCAGGTTCTGGGTCCCGTGAGGAAGCAGACTCCTATTCCTCTGGATGAAAAGGAAGCTCCTGGTGATGCCTGGCTGACTCAGTTGCCTGGAGCATGCGACTCTTGATCTCGGGGTCATGAGTTTGAGCCCCACATTGGGTGTAAAAATTACTTAAAAAAATAAAAATAAAAAACTTGAAAAGAAAAGGAAGCTCCTGGTATTAACTGTATTGACATCCCTTTAAAACAGATTTTTCTATCTTTATTCAAATAATATATAATTCAAAATTACAGATTTTCAGTAAGAGAGAATTTTGAAATTTATTTTTAGAAACACATCATGAAGCTTCAATTATTTATCTATTTATTTATTTTTTAAGGTTTTATTTATTTATTTGACAGAGAGAGAGACAGCGAGAGCAGGAACACAAGCAGGGGGAGTGGGAGAGGGAGAAGCAGGCTTCCCGCTGAGCAGGGAGCTCGATGTGGGGACTTGATCCCAGGACCCTGGGATCATGACCTGAGCCGAAGGCAGACGCTTAATGACTGAGCCACCCAGGCGCCCCGAAGCTTCAATTATTTAAATAGATTAATAATGGCACCATAATAATTAGGAAAATTCACTGAGCGGAGAGTGTTTGGGAACACAAAAGTGAATGTAATTTATAACAAGGGAAACACCATAAATCAGTGAGCAAACATAACCCCTGAGCCTGTGCCTAATTCCAAAGGGAATAGCATTGAATGTATGAAGCAAATGCATAAACTGTTAGAAAAATCTAAGTGGTTATTTCCTGATCTCAGGCTGAGGAAGCATAACAGGAGGGAAACTACAGGGGAGACCGTGCATAGGGTTAACAAACTGTTTGTTGGGTTTAAGTCTTATTTCAGAGGTATGTGATCATTTAGCCTACCTAATTTCACTATTTTGGTTTTTGTGTTTAATTTTCTGGAAGATTTTTAAAAGTTGTTATTGTCACTGAATCTCTCGTGTTTGTGCTTTTGAGGTTAAAATAGCAGAATTTTCTCGTACTCCAGAAGATTTTCTAAAGAAATATGATGAACTGAAATCTAAAAACACAAGGAACCTTGACCCGCTGGTGTACCTGTTATCAAAACTTACGGAGGACAGAGAGGTAACGGCTGCATGGGCTCACGTTGGGAGTGTCGGGAAAGGCGAACGTGTGGCGGGCTTCTGACGGAGCTCGTGGGGTGGCTTGCGCTGGTGGATGCTTGCGAGGTTTGCCCCGTTGAGACAGTGCCCCTGACGGCACGTTTCTGGCTGCTTCCCCTGCCCCATGCTGGTGGCACCGTGAGGTACCGTACGGATGTGTTTGTGCTGCTTCAGAGAGGACGGAGCTCACGCTCGCAGTGAACTTGAGAAGTATTACAGCTGCCACCTCCCGGGGGGGGGGGGGGCTTTACTTTTCGTTGTCTTATGCTGTGCTCTCACGTGTTGTGAATTGTGCATGTGTCCTTTGCGACACTAAGGAAAGCACTCAGGTCGAGGCTGGAGGAGCCGCTGCGCCCGCGAGCGTCCAGGGAGGTGCCTGGCCCTGTCCCTCTGCAGGCCCAGGGCCTGTTCAGGGGTCAAGGATGCGGCCGGGCATGGACAGAGTGGTCCCACTGCAGTATGGGAGACTGGCCGAGCGCAGAGACGGGGCCGTGCCCTTGGGAACGGAGTTTGGGGATTGGCTGTCACGCGGCCATCGGGTTTTCCTCCTGTCCTGATTTGGAGCTGTGGCACCTTGTGGCAGCAAACGCTGAGAGACCAGACTGCAGCTCAGGGACTCGTGGGGGTCCCGTTGTTCCTCCACGTGGAGTCGACAAGGAAGGAAGCGGGGGCTGGCTGTGCTCTGCAGAGCTGGCCCATGTGATCGTGGTTTTGTGTGTTTTCAGACTCTGCAGTATTTACAACAGAATGCGAAAGAACGCGCCGAGCTTGCAGCCAGCACTGCAGGCAGCGGCTCCACCAACTTCAGTGCCCCTGCCACGGGCTCCAAAATCTCCATGCAGGAGCTTGAGGAGCTGAGGAAGCAGCTTGGCAGTGTGGCCACGGGCTCCACGCTACAGCAGGTAGGGCTCCCCCACCACCCTCAGGGGTGATAGTCCTGGACCACAGGAGTGGATAACGGTGCAGGAAGGTTCTGACCCACCAGGCTGTCAGGCTTGCCTGTCGGGGGCACTCGCATGGATCTCAGCCTCTGTAAATTGTGATTGTTCCTTTCCCTCAATTAGTTTTTGACAGTTTATTTTTGTAAGAATATACTTTATAGACCATTTTCTATCTCTCATACTTACCGCTTCTCCTGCTCTTGATTTCATGTCCTGCCCCAGTCCCTTGATGTACGTCTCTCTTCTCATGGGGTTGCCCCTGTGGCCTTCAGGCCCCTCAGAGCAGCACCCATGAGGGTCTGAGCAGAGCTTGTGCTTGTTGAGCTCAGTGGCTCTGACGGGCACGGCAGCCAGCAGTGGTTGCTTGTCTTACATCAGCACCTCCCGTGTCCTCACACTGCTACCCTGTGTGACAGATGAGGAAATAGTTGCACCTCCCCTCTCACTGGCCACCCTTGACCTGGTACTTCTGAGGACTGCCCTGGTCAGCTTCTGGTGCCTGGTCCCGCAGGAGGACCGCAGCTCTGGGCATGTGCAGGAGGTGGCCTCTCCCCCTGGCCCTGAGGGGCCCAGGTAGGGGCTCCCTTCTCTAGCTGGCTGTCCCTGGGGCCTTGTCTCCACCCATCAGGTCATGTCTAGACTTCGTGCCACCAGGAAGAAGCCATTGAGTCTATGGTAGGTGTTCCCAAGAAAGGTGCAGCTTGTTGCCCGTGCTCCTGGCTTACCTGTGGGTTCTGCACAGACCGAGACCCCAGTGAGAGGCGGGGTCCCTGTCCTGTCACCAGAGCCTTGCGCTGTGATGGGCATGGAGACGCTCATTTCTTCACGTTTTTATTGAACCCTCATGTGTTGAGTGATTGACTCCTCTGGTGCCGTAGATGTCAGTTTTAAGTATTGGTACTAAAAGTATGTCTCTTTTTGTTTTTGAAAATATCCTCACCAGTCTCTAGAACTTACAAGAAAGTTGCTTCGAGATAAGCAGAACAAAAAAAATTCCGGCCAGCGCCTCCCTGTCTTTCCACCGTGGGTATATGAGAGACCCACACTGGTTGGGGATTTCCTGACTGGCTCAGGCGTGAGCACGGACACGGCTGTGCCTGTAGGTAGGTGATGTGTGTGTTTCTAACAGCCGGTGCCTTTGAGCGTGTGGTGCACTGCCCTTCCTGAGTTCTCATCCTCGGTAGTGCCGAGCTCTTGTGCTCTCGCTGCCTCTGGATGTTCCTTTCTCTCTCCTCCTCCCCCCACCTCATCTTCCAAGCAGATCCTTGGGGCTTGCTCCCAGGTCTTTCTTGCCACTTTTCCTTCGCAGGGTGACCTCGTTTGTTTTAAGGAATCATATTGTCCCCATTGCGATCCCAGATCTCTATCCTCAGGATGTCTCCCTGAATTTTGGTCTCACGTGGCCATCTGTCTGTTGTTTGTGTCTGCAGTGGGGCTCCTGACCCTCCCTTTAGTGTCTCCACTTTTCGCACGGCGACTGGTCACAGGTCACCGGGTCCTGGAGTGGCACCTGTGTTTGCTTCCTTCCCGCTGCACCAGCCTGGTCCCAGGCGCCACCCCCCACCATCTGTCCCTCTTGCCCAGACACAGTCCTTCTGCTCTCACTGGCTTGGGGCTCAGCACCTCCGCAGAGCTTGCTGTGTTAAAGGAATGTTATGGATCTGCTCTGTCTGGTATGGGGCCATCTGTGGAACGTAGCAAATGGGCATTGAACTGCAGCCGGTGCGGCTGAGGAATGGGTGTTTAGCTTTCTTTCCCTTGGCCCAGGTAGCCGGTGGCGTGGGGCCTCACATCCTGCCCTGCTGCCCTGTGGCTGTCTCCGTCATCCCAGAGCTAGCGGCTTTGAGCCTCAGGCCTGTGTCCTGTGTAGCTTCTCTAGTGACCCCTCAAACTCTGGGGAGCCGCAGAGACCCTGGTGGATTGGCCTCCAGGCCACACCTCGCTGTGCAGTGTCCCCTCAGCCTGGCTTGTTCCCCTGTCCCTTCAGCGCTCAGCCTCCAGGCTGGCTGTGCCACCCCGCTGTTCTTGCTCTCTCAGCCTGCGACGCTGTCCTTTTCCATGTGTGAGCAGGGTGCTGGAGGGCAGGGTGGCATCTGCCCCCCGAGGCCAGGGTCCCCACCGCAGGACCAGCTGACCCGGTGCTGCACCCCTTATCCCCCCACTGAGGGCATCCACTGGGGCTCTAACTGGGGTGATGCTCAGATTTCAAGTGAGTTGGGGGGGGTTGAGGCGATTCCTAGAAGGCACCCCTGCGCTTGAGAAACAGGAAGCCGAGCCTTGTCGCTCCGGTCGGAGCTGTGGAGAGGAAGCGGAGCTTGAAGTCCAGAGTGTGGCTCTGGAGGCCCCGTGACCCGTGCCTCGCCCAGACCGGCAGCTGCTGTGCTCAGAGCCTGTGCCCGCCGTCAGCAGGCTGGTGCGCTGCAGTGCCACCCTGCCCGCCAGGCCCCGGTTCTGCGGTGCCACGGGGCTGACGGGCTCCCACTGGGCCGGCTGCGCAGGGCTGGGCTGCGGGGCGGGGCACGGACACCGTTCTGTTGCTGCTGCGTGTGCTCCCCATGCGTGGCCGTCTGTCCCAGCAGAGGAGGACGCCGAGGGTTGTGAACCGAGAGAGGCAGGAGCTGCCTGGGCCTGTTTGGCCGGTGGCCCTGGCTGATGGCTTGTGACTGTCCTTAACTGGGTGGTTGTAAGGAAACCGTCTCATACTGTGCACACGTGCTGGAAGTTGTCACCACTTCCAAGTCTTTCAAGAAAGTCTTTTCATCCCACAGCAGCCCAGACTTGTTAAGTTGTGACGAGTGCTGTAACAACAGCTTACGTCAGAAGTGCTTCTTATATTCCTGACTTTCTCCTTTTAAATGTCAGGCTTTTATTTGTGTCCAGAGGGTTTTATCTGCCTGGTGCTTTAAGGCTGTGGTGCACTGCCCAAGCTCCACCTGTCCTGTGCTCATGGTGCTTTTGGAATCCCAGCCTTTAAAAGCTCCCTGGGATGAGTCAGATCCCAGTGAACAGCCTGATTCTCATGCCCATGAATGTTTGAGGGAATAACAGAGAAATCAGTAGAGGGTGCCCGAGTAGATTAGGGCAGGAGAAAGGTCAGTGGGAGTGAGGGGCCCTGGAGGTGAGGCCATGGCCCAGCTGGTATCTGCGGCCCACAGGCACGCTGCCCCTGGCCTCCCAAGAGTCGGCCGTGGTGGAGGACCTGCTCTATGTGCTGGTGGGTGTGGACGGCAGGTACATCACCGCCCAGCCCCTCACTGGGAGGCAGAGCCGCACCTTCCTCGTGGACCCCAACCTCGACCTGTCCATCAGGGAGCTGGTGAACAGGATCCTCCCCGTGGCTTCCAGTTACTCCACGGTGACCAGGTAGATGCCAGACGGGACCTGAGGCTGGACACGGGCCTTCCCAGGTGCTCTTGACCCCTGCAGCTCCCACTTTGTGTCTGTAAAGATCATTTGACTCCTTTTCTAAAGAGCGTCCTCATCTTTTTGTGACCCGGTTTCATGCCTGACACGGTTTTGAAGGGCCTGGGGACAAGTGCAGGGGGCTGGTTTCGAAGAGCTTGAGTGGGGAGGGGGCTCAGAGCATCTGACATCTAATCTGAAAATGTAGCCTCCCCTGCTCATGGGTCCTGGGTGCTCCTTTCCCTCCTAGGTTCATTGAAGAAAAGTCTTCCTTTGAATACGGACAGGTGAACCATGCCTTGGCGGCAGCCATGAGAACCCTAGTGAAGGAGTACCTGATCCTGGTCACGCAGCTGGAGCAGCTGCAGAGGCAGGGCCTGTTGTCACTTCAGAAGCTCTGGTTCTACATCCAGCCGGCCATGCGCACCGTCGACATCCTGGCCTCCCTTGGTGCGTGCCTACCCTCCCACCCGCCATGTCGGCCGGGCCATGGGAGGGACTTGGGGCAGTGGGCAGGCACATTCCATGGCGGGTGGGTTGTGGCGTGTGAAGGTGAGACTCCCAGACCAGCGTGCGAGGCATTCGTTTCTTCACTGTGGACGCCAGGGTGTGAGGCCAAAGCCTGTATTGCTTCGTGTTTTAATCTGTGGGAGGAAAACTCTGGAAACTTATCAGTAGATAAACTTTCATTAGTGATCACGAGCTTACGGTTTGAGTGTCCCCCACAAAAGGAGCACCTGGGGTGTCGTGACATAGCTGGGGGAGCCACAGGCAGCCCTTCTCAGCACTGAGTGCTGCCCCCCCCTCCTGGCAGCCACCTCGGTGGATAAGGGCGAGTGTGTCGGGGGGTCCACCCTGAGCCTTCTCCACGACCGGAGCTTCAACTACACGGGCGACAGCCAGGCGCAGGAGCTGTGCTTGTACTTAACCAAGGCCGCCAGCGTGCCCTACTTCGAGATCCTGGAGAAGTGGATCTATAGAGGGATAATCAATGACCCCTACAGGTAGGGCTCGCGGAGCCTGGGGAAACCCAGGTAAGACGCCACGTGCAGCCACGCTGCCCAGGGAGGCTTCAGCGTGTCGAGTGGTGGGGTCAGAATCAGCTCCGTGCGGCTCCCGGCTCCTGTCGCGGGCTTCCGTCGCAGCTGGGGAGCGTGGGTGTCCAGCACGTTCGAGGAGCCGGGGCGGCCCATAGACAAGTCTGTCCTGTTGAGGTGTATTTGCTAAAGGACTTGAAAAGCCAGGCCTAGAGGTAGCGTTTCCCTGCTGGTGATTCGCGTAACAGTCTGGGGGGGGCCTGACAACGTGATTTTAAAACCGTGCCTCGCTAAGAGATACCTGAAACAGGCGTGAAGGGGTTGCCCCCCTGCTGTGGGGGTCGGCTCGTTGCCTGTGTTCACACGGGAGGGAAGGGCTACGTTCCCCTGACGGGTGGAACTAGAGAGGTCGACCTGCACCCCTGTGGCCCTGAATGTCCTCGGAGCCCCGGAGCGGGCTCTCAGCTGGGGACGGTGGGCACGGGACATGCTGAGCCCATCCGCCTGTTGGCGTGGCTTGCCGCCTGAGAGCGTCCTGTGGTTGCCAGCGAGTTCATGGTGGAAGAGCACGAGCTGCGGAAGGAGAAGATCCAGGAGGACTACAACGACAAGTACTGGGACCAGAGGTACACCGTCGTGCAGCGGCAGATCCCCTCCTTCCTGCAGAAGATGGTCGGCAAAGTGCTCAGCACAGGTGAGCCTCGCGCCCCAGCCCAGCACATGCTCGCCCTCTGTCCTGTGGCTCTGTCTCTGTGCCCCTGCTGCTGGGCAGGGGCCCCGCCGTGCGCTGCAAGGGCTGCAGAGCCTCCACAGGGTCTTCTTGTGCCTGGCCATTGTCCCGTCTGACTCCTGCGGCTCTGGGTGCTGTCATTTTGTTCCCTGACCCCAGGAGGTTGTCTCCCAGGTGGCTTTTCTTCACTACTTTGTTTCTAGAGCTCTGTTACCACTGACAGGAAAGTTGCTTTCCTGCTCCCAGCCGGCGCCAGTCGTGCGGCTTTTCCACACCAACATCCAGCTCTCCTGTTGTCTGTGCACACCAGCTGGGCGTCCTGTGAATTAGCCCAGTCCTGGCACGGACCTCTCAGGGTTGGTGGGCGCGGGCTCCTCAGGCTCAGAGCTCAGTCCCTCAGGGCGGCCCCCACATCAACACTGCTGTCCGCACCGCTGTCTGACGTCGCTACGAATTGGGGGTTCCCGTGACCCCCTCCTCGGGGTTGATGATTTGCTAGGACGGCTCACAGAACTCAGGGAAACACTTTACTTTCTAGATTACCGGGTTATTAGAAAGGATGTAAGTGAACAGCCAGCTGAAGAGGTCCATGGGGCGAGGTCTGGGCAGGTGCCGAGCACAGGAGCTCCGAAGTGCGTGGCGCTCGGTGCGCCATCCCCGTGTGGACGTGTTCACCACCCAGAAACTCCACATCGCTCCACTTAGGAATTGTAGGGAGGTTCCGTTATGCAGGCGTGAGTGATGAAATGTTTGGCAGTTGATTTATCCAGTCTCCAGCCTCTCTCCGAGCCCGGCATCGGGGGGTAGGACCAAAGCTCCCGCCCTCTGGTCACAGGGTTGGTTCCCCGGCACGCAGCTCCCAGCCTGAGCTGGACAGGGGCTGCCCAGAGTCACCTCCCGGCGTAAACTCAGCTGTGCTCGGAAGGGGTTCATGAGCCACAAGATTGCAAGAGTTTTAGGAGCTCAGCGCCAGCAACAAAAACAAAGTCCAAAGATCCAGTCCTTCTGGGTCAGTCTCATACACCACTATAGGAACAGCAGTTGAGGACCTGGGCCTCAGTGGCCCAGTGGTGTTCCACTCACCATCATATGGGCTGGGAACCGGACAGGCTTCCAGCCAGGGACTTGGTGATCAAGGACGGGGTTGGAAGATGGTTGGGAACCTCATTCTCTGAAAGCTTTTTTGAAATTATTTCTGTGCTCTTTGTTAGAAAAATCCTGATGAAAGAGAGTCTAGCCTGTTGTAGCACTTACTGCTTCTGTCCTTCACGGGCATCAGTTGTGTTTCCCTGCCTCACGTAAAGGGCTCTAGAACCATGTTTCCAGTCCGCTAGCTAGTGTTGGGGTCACAGTATCCGAGGTTTGGGCCTGTGGTTTAGTGTCGGTATAGTGAAATTTTTAATCTGTTTTCTCCTTGTCTTTTCAGGAAAATATCTGAATGTAGTCAGAGAGTGTGGTCACGATGTCACCTGCCCAGTGGCCAAGGAGATCATCTACACTTTGAAGGAGCGAGCATATGTTGAGCAAATCGAGAAGGCTTTTAACTACGCCAGCAAGGTCCTGCTGGCCTTCCTGATGGAAGAGAAGGAGCTCGTGGCGCACCTGAGGTGAGCTGTCTGCCTTCTGCCTTCTAGCTCGGCTCGTGGAACCCTCCTGGCGTCTGACCAAGGCCAGAAACTTACTCTTAGTGGCTCTGTTTTGTGGACAGAAACACAAGCATGCTGCTAGGTTGTCTCCAGCCTGAGAACCTTGCACAGTTGTGACCCTGCCACCTTGGTCCTGCTACCCAGAGCCCAGTGGGGCCATGTCTGCCTGTGTCACCTTGGGGTGACACAGCTTGCCCAGTCTTGCCCCCGGTCCAGGGCCACCAGCCCTTTCTGAACACAGTGGTCCCTCACCTGTGCCTAAGAGCTGTTCATTTCTGCTCATTTGTGAAGCTGACCGTTTCTCCCCTTTCTAATGTACTTCTCTGGTCTATGGCCATACCACCCTGAACACGCCTGATTTCGTCTGGTCTCAGAAGCTGAGCAGGGTCGGGCCTGCTTAGGGGAGTGCTGCTGGGCGAGGAGCTTGGCTCGTCCTCCCTGGGCTGCGCTACCCAAGGCCCACCTGGCCCCACCTCATCATCCAAACTGCTGGTTGTATTGGGAGCCCTTCGTCTGCACGCAGCTCTTCCTTGTCAGCCGTCTGTCAGTTTTCCCAAGTCTAGGCCACTCTGCGGGTCCCACAGCTGTGCTGGTGACCCCCGTGCCCCCACCCGCTCTGTAGGTCCATCAAGCGCTACTTCCTGATGGACCAGGGTGACTTCTTTGTGCACTTCATGGACCTCACCGAGGAGGAGCTGAAGAAGCCAGTGGACGACATCACGCCCACCCGTCTGGAGGCTCTGCTGGAGCTGGCCTTGCGCATGAGCACTGCCAACACGGACCCTTTCAAGGATGACCTCAAGGTGGGTCGGGGCCTGGGGCTGGGGGAGTGCCCTTCAGACCCACCAACCTGCGTCCAGATAGGTTGGGCAGCTGCCTGAGCAAGATGGCCATGAAACCCCAGGAGAACCCAACTCCCGATGGTGATGCCGCAGCTCACCCTTGAGCAACACGGGTGTGAGCTGCGCAGGTCCGTTTACACACAGATCTTTATCGATAAATACAGTACAGTGACATAAACGTATTTTCTTTTTTATTAACGGTTCCTGTTCTGTAGCTTACTTTATCATAAGAGCACGGTACATGTTATGATGTACAAAATACGTGCTCGTCACGTGTGTCAGGCTCTCGGTCAGCAGTAGGCTATTCATAGTTAGGGATACGGGCGGTCTGCAGGTCCCCGTGGACTTTCAACTGAACCAACGGGTTGGCGCCCCAGCCCCAACATTGTTCACGGTCAGCCTACTGTTTTCCACTAAGTATGCCGCTCTTTCGGCTGGGTCCTGGCACTTGTGGTAAAATTATAAATCTGAAGGGATTTAGGCTTTGCTGTGTAGTTTCTCGTTTACGCCATCGGGCATCTTAAAAATGATCTCTCTGCACTTTTTGCTTTGGTGGAAAGCGGCTGAGGCTTTATTGGCAGACACTTGTTTTGTAAGCCAGCCTTCAGGATGCAGAGTCTACGTCAGAGAAAGCTACCTCAGTCCCAGACTTGCTTCTCCAGCTCCTGGGGCAGCTGGGCTGGGGCAGCGGTCAGGATGTGACGCTTTTTTCTTTGTCTTTCTCAAGATCGATCTGATGCCTCATGACCTCATCACTCAGCTCCTGCGGGTTCTGGCCATCGAGACCAAGCAGGAGAAGGCGATGGTCCATGCTGACCCCACTGAGCTCACGCTGAGCGGCCTAGAGGCCTTCTCTTTTGACTATGTTGTTAAGTGGCCTCTGTCACTGATTATCAATAGGTGAGCATTGATCTTTCCGGCGCCAGCTGCCCTGGACACAATTCCAGGTTTGCCCGGAAGGCAGGATTGTATCCAGTCTGCAGACCGTTCGCAGCGGCTGTGCACGTCCACTTCTGTGCGGGGTGGGTTGCCTGGCTGCCTGGCGGCCAGGGAGCAGAACGGCATCAGCGAGGTCAGAGCCTCGGCCACTGTGTGCCGTGAGCCTCACGGTGTCGGAGGCCAGCAGCGCCCACCAGGTGTCGGCCACCTTTTCCTTCTTGCAGGAAAGCCCTGACCCGCTACCAGATGCTCTTCAGACACATGTTCTACTGCAAGCACGTGGAGCGGCAGCTCTGCAACGTCTGGATCAGCAACAAGGCCGCCAAGCAGTACTCGTTACACTCGGCAAAGTGGTGCGTCTGTTCTGCGCGCTCAGGTGCTCCCCTCAAGGCAGGAGCGTTTCACTCTTCACCCCTTTAGAAAGGCAGCTTGTCATACGGCTCTGTGGCTTTTTGACCCCTGACGAGTTTCACATTGCAGCGCGGGGCCGTGGCCGCCCACGGTAGACGTGGCTCGGTCCCTCCGCTGTTGGTGCGGACATGCGGGTGGCCGGGTCTGTCACCGTGAGCCCTGTGAGGCTTGGGGGTGCTTGTTCGCTCCCGCCGGCGCGCACGCTGGTCGGTGACACCGGGTGGTGTGTGTGCCCGTGTGGGGGCGCTCAGCGCAGGGCACCCTGACAGCGGGGCGGGGGGGGCCCGCGGCTGCCACAGCGGCGACCCTCCTTGTGCTCGCTCAGGTTTGCCGGTGCCTTCACCCTGCGACAGCGGATGCTCAACTTTGTGCAGAACATTCAGTATTACATGATGTGTGAAGTGATGGAGCCAACGTGGCACATCCTTGAGAAAAACCTGAAGTCTGTGAGTTTGAACTTAAGACGGCATAACACTTAAAAGGCTCTACGCCAGCTGGGTGGCACCAAGTAGGTTCTTGGGAAGGGAACGTAGTGGGCCGGATGTCGGGGGGTTAGTGCAGTGCTTGCTCCGGGCTGGTGAGGAGGAGACCGCAAAGCCCTCCGTACACGGAAGCGGTTTCTTCGTGAACACAGCCAAGGTGTGCGTGAGTGAGACTGGGATGTGGGGGGGTTCCCCTGAGGTGGTGCGGAGAGCCTTGGGGTTGGGGTGGCTCTGCGCCCCCACCCCCATCCCAGCACCCCTGGGGCCTGTCAGCAGGTCCCAGAAGCATGAAGGGACGGCAGCCGTGGAAGAACCAAAACTGTGGCCTTTTGGCGGCATGTTTAGCATTTTTTTGTGGGGGTATTTTGAAGTTTTCTCTCAAAAGCCGTAGGGTCATTTAAGGAAAGGAAACAAAACAGAAGTACACAGAGCAGCAGCCTGGCCCGCGTAGGGTCTGGTCTCCTCGCAAAGTCGTGCCGAAAGCCAAGGCAGGTGCCGTCTCTCCACGCAGGCGTCCAACATCGACGACGTGCTGGGTCACCACACGAGCTTCCTGGACAACTGTCTGAAGGACTGCATGCTGACCAACCCTGAGCTGCTCAAAGTCTTCTCCAGGCTCATGTCCGTGTGCGTCATGTTCACCAACTGCATGCAGGTGTGCCACCACGCAGCCCGCCCGCCTTCTGCCCGCCCTGTGCAGGGCTGTCTGTCTGAGCCCCCTTCTGCCGTTGTGGGCCGGGACCAGCAGCTGCAGCATCTCTGTCCCCAGCCCTTTTCTGGGCGCCTGGCGTTCTTTTTGTCCAGTTCAAGTTATTTGATTCAGTTACAAGCAGCTGCCTAAAATGCTGATACAGAAAGTCAGTATTGGGAGGCAGAGGGGGTGACACAGGGTTCACCAGGACTCCAGGGCATGCAAGGTGGTCGCCAGCGTCTGGGGGATAGGAGCCTGGGAGCCAGATCCGTATGGGGCTCGCCCTGGGGAGATGCCGTCTTCAGAAGACTCTGTTGACGAGCCCTCCGACAGGCACCCTTGGAAGCCATGTGGGCACAGGTGCAGCTCCCCGAGTTCACGTCTGCTGTCCCCACATCTGCAGATGGTGCCTCAGCTGTGTGGTGGCACATAGTCCACTTGGGTTCCTTGAAACTAACAACAGCGTTTCTTCCTGACCCCAAGAGATTTACGCAGAGCATGAAGTTGGACGGTGAGCTGGGCCGGCTGATGTTGGAGCATGGCACAATGCTGGGGCCACCCACGGAGGCCGAGCGGGCGGAGGAGCGTGCCCGCAAGGAGCTCGCTAGGAAGGTGTGCAGCCTCCGGCTTCGTCCAGCAGGCCCGCTGCAGCCCTCCATTCTGTTGTCCCTTTGATCAAAAAAAGTTCATCCTAATTAGGTTCCAAACATGAGCTAGAGGATCTCTTCTCCAAACTTGTCCAAACCTCAGCCCCGCTGTGCTCGAGGGTGAGGCCACAGTTCCCCGGAGCAGGGGTTGGGGTGTCCGCAGAGGGCCTGCCATGTAGCAGGCACAGGGCCGTGGGCCCTGCTGTCATTACAGAGTCCAGCCTTAACCAGAAGGGCGAGGTGTCTCCGCCTTCTTTGAGGGGATGCGGGGAGGGGCATGGGCCCTGCAGCACCAGCCCAGGTCTGGAGGGAGCTCAGGCCCGCACTCCTGTGTCCACTCCCTTTGCTGAGAGGGAGCCAGGAGAAAATGCTGCATTCCCTTGAAAATCTGAGCCACGTAAAGAATCCATGAGGTGCATGGACTTGCTGCTTCCTTGTGGGAGCAGGGCAGGGCGCCCACTGCCCAAACAGAGCATGTCTCTGTGTTCCGCAGTCTCAGGAACTTTTATGATGCCTTAACTTTTATCACATGAAAACTTGCCCAAATCCCTTCTATTTAAAAAAAAAGGGGGGGTGGGGAGGGAGGCCGAGCTGGTAGGGAACAATGCCAAGGTGGGGCTAGAGGCACTCACGGTGCGTGACCGTGTCTTCTAGTACCTGGCTGAGCACGTGGACGCCCCTCAGCTGACCTCCAGCTTCGAGGCCACCATCAACAAGTTTGATAAGAATTTCTCGGCACATCTGCTTGACCTTCTGGCCCGACTGAGCCTCTACAGCACCAGCGACTGTGAGCATAGCATGGCCAGCGTCATCTCCAGGTGGGTGCGGATGGCCTCCTGCCCCGGCTGCCACGGGCACCATCCTGTCCCCGTGTGGCCGCGAGTCCCGGGCTTCCCCCGTGCGCCCCCCGCCCCCGCCGTCACCACACAGCTTTGGGCCGCCCCAGGGAGGGAGTGACTGAGGCGGGGTCTGCTTGGGTGTGCGGGCGTTCGTCCCTCACCTCCTGTGCTGCTGCTGGTCACTGCTCACTCCCTGAAGTGACAGATGCACGTGTGCGGTGGTTTGTGTTCCCTCGTGAGCGTGTGCACCAGTGACCGTCTGTGCCCCCGGCGCTGGTCCCTGTCTGTGGGCCGGGCTGGCTCAGGCTCGCCCAACGCTTTGCTCCCTGAGCCAGGACCCAGGACGCTGGAAGGGCCCCCCAGCCCCCAGCCTTGGGCCGTGCATGGCGGCAGCATCACCCCGTTTTCAGATGAGCAGCCAGGAGGCAGGCAAGGGAAGACAAGACCAGCGGTGCTGCTCAGGCCAGGAAGTCACTGGGAGCCAACAGTGGGGGTCATGGCAGCGCTTACTAAAGCCTCCTGTTTGGGCTCTTGGGGCTGGCTGTGCCTTGTCACCACTCCTAGGAGGTGTGACAGAGCATTGCTGGTGACTCTGGGAGGGCCCGTTGGGGAGGACAGTGCAGGAGCGTGAAGACAGGTGCAGGGGGCCAGCAAACTGGTCAGCCAGTTTGTGGTTCTGGGGCCAGCAGATTCCCATGACCTGTGGAGCCCGGCAGTGTCCTGGACGCCCCGCTCTACAGAGGGGAGGCAGTGGGTCAGCTGATTTCCAAGGGATTGGGGTGGGGGTGTCCTTGCCTGGGAAGGTGTCAGACGGACGTCTGATATCCTAAGTACAGGGCCTGGGAGGTGCCTCCAGCCTGTGGCACGCTTGGGCCCTTGTGCCAGGTAAGGCTGGCCCCAACATCCAGGGGCCGGGGAGGGCTGCCAGGGAGGTGGGTGGGGGGTGGGGGACAGCTCTTCTGCTGGGGTTTTAGCAGAGAAACCGAAGCTATGCTTCTGCTTAAACCCCTAATTAGGAGTTTTGGTTGTTCCGCTTTCAGTTTGCATGTGTGTTTAGGTTCCGATGTCAGTGTTGCTTGAACCAGGGAAGGCTGTGTGGGTGGGTGTTCCTCGCACCTGGTGCAGAGCCGGCCCTTTGCCTGTGGGGTGGATCAGTTGCCTGGTGTGGCACCGCAGGGAGGGCACCTCTGCACCTGGGGCATCTGCATGGGAGCCCAGCCCCTCTCCTCCCGCAGACTGGACTTCAATGGCTTCTACACGGAGCGCCTGGAGCGTCTTTCTGCAGAGAGGAGCCAGAAGGCAGCACCCCAGGTGCCTGTCCCACGGGGCCCCCCAGCATCAGCGCCCAGGGTCGCTGTCACCGCACAGTGAGGCTGCAGGTGCTGTGGAGAAATGAGTTCAGAACCTTTTACTGGAATAGCGCTGAACCACCCGTTGTTGCTGTTTAAATATAAAGTCTGAATGTCATCCCCGCGTGCTGCTCTCGTGTCTCGGGGTCCTGGGTTCTGCTCTGCAGCAGCTGCCCGGACCCGAGCGGGCGTCTGCACGGCTGTGCTCTGTGAACTTCCTTCAGTCAAGCAGGGTCACTTTTTAAAATGTTTCTGTTCTCAAATAAAGAGAAGTGAAAACATATGGCATTTGGGCAACATGAAGATAATTTCCAAAATGCCATGCAGGGGACGGGGTCCAGGTGTCCACAGCTGGTCAGGTACACAGGCCTGGACTCCCAGAAATCCACTCTTGTGCTAGGCTGGGCTCCGGGCATTAGGGGGCAGCACGGTCCTCGAGCTGTCGCAGGGCCGGGCCAGAGGGTGGGGGAGTCCTCAGGAGCACCTGCCCGCCCAGCCCACCTGCCCGCCTGCAGAGGTGCTGGGTGGAACCCGACCCTGGCCCGCCCCACACCTGTGACTCCCGCCATGCTGCCCACCTGCCAGAGGTCATGTGTCACTGTCCCAGTTGAGCTCTGACCACCTGCTCCAGGAGGGGGGTGTCCTCCTGGGGGGCAAGGAGGAATGAGAGCCAGAAGCAGCCTCCTGGAGGCAGCCTGGGTCCCCCCTTGCGGCTGGGGTGTGGTCACTTGGCCTGGCCGCTGCCTTGCACAGGAAACACCGTGGAGCTGGGGGCTCCCCTTCAAGCCACAGGCATTTTCCTCTTCCAGTCTGCAGCGTGTGCAGCCATCATGGCCAGAGCCCCAGCATTGTGCACACCTCGTGCTGAGCAGAGGAACCCGTCAGCCCCTGGCTTGTGGCCCTCCTGCCCTGCTCTGAGACCCAGAAACCTTGTGTCCCCATCCTGGGCTCCGGGCAGCAGGCTTGCCCATTGCATCTCAGGGCTGCAGGTGGTGAGGGGGGAGGGGTGGGACAAGAGGTGTGTTTGGGGGGCTGCGTGGGGTCCTGTGTCCTAGGAGCAGGCCCGTGCTGGTCCTGGCTGCCAACGCTAGCTGCCCGCGGGCAGTCTGGTCCGGGGCCCACGGAGCGTGTGCGTCCGTGGCAGCTTTGGTTTCTGCCAGTACAGGGGCTTTAGCCTTTTACTTCCTGTTTTAAAATAATTGCAACATACAAGGAAGGAAGGGAAGATGGAGATGGCTGGGGGCGTGGGGTCTCACCTTGTTTCATCACAGGAAGTGGTACGTAAGGGGGACAGCACGTGTTCAGACCATTTCTACACCTCTGTCACCTCTGCCTGAGATGCCTCAAGGCCGGCTAGCCCGTCCTGCCTGTGGTTTTTATGCCATCCGCTTTGGGGGAAATAAGGGTCTGTTAGACTTTGACCTCTGGCCTGCACTGTGCTGCCCACAGGCTCTCACTTAGACTGATGCCCTCTCCTCAGGGAGCTTGTCCAGAACGCAGCTCCGGAGCCACGTGGTTCGGCTGCAGGCGGTCTGGGACCCCCGGTGACGCACCCACCGGAGAAGCCTGGGTGCCAGGCCACAGTGGGGGCGGCCCCACCCTGCAGAGCAGAGGCACCAGGGTGCGGTGTGGGGAGCTTTCTGTTCCCCAGGAAGTCTGAGGGCACATCTGCACCTGAGCAGCCCCCTGCCACGCCCCCAGACAGAGCCTGGTCCGAACCACTGCCCCACCACCTGGCCAGAGGCCCCTGGGCCGGGCGGAGCCTGGGCTTCCTCACCTGCACCAAGCGGCGTGCGACCTTGCAAGGAGGGGCTCAGCTTAGTCTGTCCGCCAACCCCCTCCGTTAATTCGATCCACATTTACGAAGTTTCTTCCACGTGCTGGACACCGGGCGCTGTTCAGGGGCCCCCAGGGGCCCCGTAGTAGACGCGGGAAAACCCAAGAGCGAGCCCCAGGCCGGCGGCCGGGGGCGAGGCGCCCCTCCCCAGCGGGTGTCCAAGCCCCGCCCCTCCCGGCGTCGGAGGGGCCGATAGGCTGCGGGCCGGGGGCCGGTCTCCGGGCGGGGCGCCGGGAGACCAGACCTTGTCGCGAGCGCCGCGTCCTCGGACCCCGGACCCCTGGCCCCGGAGCCCGTGCGCGCCCCCTGTTCTTGCCCCGGACGCCCGTGTACGCACCCCGAGCGCGCCCCGGCCATGCGCGGCCTGGGGCTCCAGGTGCTTGCGCTGTGTCTGCAAGGTGAGTGCCGGGCGCGGTCGGGTTCCCTGGCCCTCCGCACCCCGCCGAGCGCTGGGTCAGTCTCGGGTCGGGCGCGCCGAGGGGAGCCCTCACCGGGAAGGCCCAGGGTGGCAGACGGAAACTTCAAAAGGGAACTGGGGGAGAGGCCGCCTGGGGCGTTTCCCCAGCGCTGGTTCGGCCGGGGACTCACAGGGCAGGGTGGAGAACCGCGCCACCCCCCATCCACCCCGGAGCCTTGGGGTGACTGCCCACTCCCACCCAGACCCCCCAGCCTGGCAGGGAAGGGAGGACCGAGGAGCAGTGACCTGAGCTGAGGGTGGACACCGGGGGAGGAGGGTGGGAGGGGGTAGTCTAGTCACTTGGGACCCACCGCCGGCCGGGGACCTGGTGGCCCCCACGCTCCCTGCTGCTGGGGGGAGCCTTCTGGGCTGGGTTCGGTGGTGTCCCAGCCCCAGGCTGGAGGGGCCCACGTCTGGGAGGCGGGGCCTCTCTCTCCTGGTGTTTCGCAAGACAGTGGCGGTGGAGACACAGCCATCAACACTTAGAGACCGAGAAGAGTCTTGCGGGGTCGCTGTTGTTGGGGCCCCACTCCCAGGGCTGTTTGTTGTTGGATACCTGGGAGCTTCTGGATCTGGGCTGGGTGAACTGCCTGCGGGCAGGAGGGCAGAACTACCCCCCGACCCAGGGCCGGAGTGCGCCCTCAGACCCGAGGGAGGGGAGGAGAGGGGACATCTAGGTCAGCCCTAGGCCCTGGGGGAGGAGCTATCAGGGGCTGCCCTGTGGACCCCACCCAGGGCAGGGGAACCCCGTCTCCGAGTCCCTGGTGCTCACGCTCACCTGTGACTCCCTTGGAGGAGGAGGTGCAGGCCCAGCACCGGCCTGCTGACCCCCTTCTCGCCCACAGTGGCCGCCCCCAGCACCCCGCTGCCCCACGTGGACCAGTATGAGGTGGTGTGGCCCCAACGCCTGCCGGCAGCACCCCGTGCCCGCCGAGCCCTGCCCTCCCACCTGGTAAGTCTTGGCGGGGAAGCCGGCCCGGGGGTCCCTCCTGGCCCCCCAGAGCCTGTTTTGTCTGTAGCTCCCAGTGTGCCCGCCAGTGTGAGGAGCCGGCCTGGGGGGCTGACCGTCTGTGTCTGCCTACACTTCTCCACCCCCAGGCCTCACCTCCCTGCATCCTGCCTCACCCTGCCCTCGGGTGGGGGCGTGAGGCGAGCGGCTTCTGCTGAGTGTGGGCCCTGGGGCTGCCTTTCGGGAGCCCTCTTAGCCCAGGGCAAGTCCCGGTTTCACTGGCCAGATAAGTCAGATCCCTTTCAGACCAGAGACGCTGGCTCATCAGGGGCGTGTCACCTTCCGTGTTTGTGGTGACTGTGGTGACTGACTGGTGACGGCACCTTTGTGGGGCATTTGGAGCTGGGCTGGAATTCCCCAAGAAGGCTGGCTGGGGGCATTCCTGAAATCCCTGTGGTCAGCCCTGTCCTGACCTCGGCATCTGGGGAAAGCTTTCTACTGCCCTGGGCCCTCATGCTGTCCTGTCCCAAGAGGTCAGCAGGCTGGGGGGCACTCCCCTGGGGTGCTCAATCTCGTGCCGTGTCCCCATCTCCTCAGGGCCATGTCTCCCCCTCCCCCTGCTTCCTGGGGAAGGGGATTCTAGTCATTACTTGTGTGGACAGATGAGGAAACTGAGGTCTGCCCAGCCTCAGCTTCCTAATACTAGCTCGATGCTGAACGACCCTCAGGGTCCTCCGAGGAACTTTCAGATTTCAGGGTGCCCCGGCCTTGGCTGCATCCCCAGCCCAGCCAAGCTCCACCGCACCCAGGGTTAAGGTGCTGGGCCCTGGGGCAGGGCCCCTCACCCTGGACCCCTCCCTCTCCCGGCTCAGGACCTATACCCGGAGACTGTGAGCTACATCCTTGGGACCCAAGGGCACAACTTCACCCTGCACTTGAGGAAAAACAGGTGAGTGGAGGCCCAGCCTGCTGCGCCCAGCATATCCATGCCCTAGGCGTCCAGCTCCCCGGCCCGGCCACTCCGCCAGGCCAGAGGTGGCTTCTGTGGGGGCAGGCGGGGCCCCGGGCACCACAGTGGCTCTTTTCCAGGGACCTGATAGGCTCGGGCTACACGGAGACCTACAGGGCTGCCAATGGCTCCCAGGTGGTGGAGCACCCACAAAGGCAGGTATGGGCCCGGGACAGCCCTCCGCAAGGCCGGCAGTGGGCAGAGCGGGGGCAGGGCCGTGGGCCACTCACGCCTCCTCCCTCCTGCAGGGTCACTGCTTCTACCAGGGCCACGTGGAGGGGCACCAGCATTCCGCCGCCAGCCTCAGCACCTGTGCCGGCCTCAGGTGAGTGCCGCAGACCTGGGGGGGTGTCAGCCATCCCCCACATGCTCCAGAGAGGTAAACTGAGGCCGAGAAGAGAGGGGCTCAGCGTGACGACCTTCCTGCACACGGGCGTCTGGCCTGTTAGAAGTCACAGGTTCCCCGAGCTACAGGGCTCCCCTCGGGCCCTGGAGGCCGTGCCCCGTATACCGCCCGCCTGGGGGGCCGTCCGTCCCCATGCAGATGGAGCTTCGTCCTCACCAGAAGGAGGCCCCCTGTCCCTCAAGGGTTTGTCCCTCCCCAGATGCCCGTGTGGGGATGCACTAATTCAGAACCACCTGGCTTACCTCTGCCCTCAGGGGCTTTTTCCGGGCCGGCTCGGACGTCCACCTGATCGAGCCCCTGGACGGGGACGGTGAAGAGGGGCAGCACGCGCTATACCGGGCAGAGCACCTGCAACAGAAGGCCGGGACCTGTGGGGTCAGCAACACCAGCTTGGAGAAGGCCTTGGGGCCTCGGATCTCGGCAGCCTTCAGGCCCCAGGTTGTGGGCGGGGACAGACCAGCTTCCTCATCCGCTGCCCACCGGGACTGCATCCCCCAGACTCCCACTGTGCTTGGCTGAGTGAGGGTTCTACCCACTGAACCCAGTCAGGGGGTCCTGGTGTCTCCGAGGGGTCCCCATCAGGCCTGGCTTTGCCAGTGGCTGCAAGGATCACCCCTTGGCCTGAGCTGGAGCCTCCAGGATGGCACCCCCATTCCTGAGCGGGGGCTGGGTGCCGGCTCCAGGACCCCGGGAGAGGGTCAGTGTGTGAAAACTGGGCCCAGGCTAGGAGGACTGTGGCTGGGGTGGCTGACCAGCTTCTTGTGCCCCCAGAGCTGGCCACTGCCCCGAGACACCCGCTACGTGGAGCTGTATGTGGTCACGGACAGCACAGAGGTAGTGGGGCAGGGCGTGGGGGTGGCGCTGGGGCGGGTCGGGGGACTGCTGGCATCTGAGGGCCTCCATCCTGCAGTTCCAGCGGCTGGGGAGTAGAAGAGCTGTACGCAGCCGGGTGATGGAGGTGGTGAACCACGTGGACAAGGTGGGTAGAAACCCTGGTCGTCAAGCGGGGCGGGGCCAGCAGGGGGACCGGCAGCCGGCAGGGAGCTGGGCTCTGTGGCCCTCGCGGGCCCCGAGCCTGACCTGGGGCTTCCCTGCCCTCCCAGCTTTATCAGGAGCTCAATTTCCGTGTGGTCCTGGTGGGCCTGGAGATGTGGAACCACAAGGACCAGATTCACGTGAGCTCGAACCCCGACGTCACACTGGACAACTTCCTCCGGTGGCGGACGCAGAACCTGGTGGGTCGGCACCAGCACGACAACGCGCAGCTCATCACGTATGCGGTGGCGGGCGCAGAGCCGAGCCCTTGCGGCCAGGGAGGCCTATGTGGGGGGAGGCAGTTTTCGGGGCATCCACCTTTGCACACTGCTCTTGTTTCCAGCGGGGTCGAGTTCACCGGGAGCACCGTGGGACTGGCCAAGGTGGCGGCCGTGTGCTCCCAGGACTCGGGAGCTGTGAACCAGGTTTGCTGGACTCTGGGCGCTAGGTCCGCGTGCTTGTCCCCGGCTGTCCCCACGGGCTGGTGCTCCTGGGCGGCTGCCTCCCCTGGAGGATGGGCTGATGCTTTGAGAAGTGTTGTTGGCGGGGTGCAGTGCCAAGCCTGCGGCCTTTCCGGGCCAGTGAGGGCGGGCGGGGTCGGGAAGGGCTGCGGCGTCGGCCAGCACAGCCTCGCCTTCTAGGACCACAACCTAGAGAACCCCATCGGCGTGGCGTCCACCATGGCCCACGAGATGGGCCACAACCTGGGCATGGACCACGACGAGAACGTCCAGGGCTGTTACTGCCCTGTGCCACGGGAGGGCGGCGGCTGCATCATGGCGGCCAGCATCGGGTGAGGCCGGGGGCCGCTTGCAGAGCGGGGTGCCCTGGGTGCCCCCGCCCCCACACCCCTGACGGAGGCACGCTGCACCCCCAGCGCCAGGTTCCCCAGAATGTTCAGCCAGTGTAGCCGCGCTGACCTGGAGATGTTCGTGGAGAAGCCTCGGACAGCCTGCCTGGCCAATGCCCCGGACCCCAGCCGGCTGGTGGGCGACCCTGTGTGCGGGAACCTGTTTGTGGAGCGTGGGGAGCAGTGTGACTGCGGCCCGCCCCAGGTACGGGCCAGATGCCTGCCGCCCCCTGCCCGTATGGATGTCTGTCCGTGACCCACCAGCTGCCCTGTGTGCTGCCCCTCAGCAGAACAGTCCTGCTCCCTGAGGACTGTCTCCACTCGGGGGCTCCGGGGAGGGGGGCCCGGGCTCTGCCCTGGAGCCCACCCCCGCCTCTGCCCTCCAGGCCTGTCGGAACCCCTGCTGCAATGCTACCACCTGCCAGCTGTCTGCGGGGGCCCAGTGCGCACAGGGTGCCTGCTGCCGAAGCTGCAGGGTCAGTTCCCCTCCCGCCCCGCACAGCTGGGCCCGGCCAGCAGGTGGGAAGGGGCCCCGGGGAGCGGGCTGACACACACTTGAGCTCTGCTCTGCTGGGCAGGTGACGCCTGCCGGTGAGCTGTGCCGTCCCCCAAAGGACGCGTGTGACCTTGAGGAGTACTGCGATGGCCAGCAGCCAGTGTGCCCGGAGGACGTCTTCCAGGAGAATGGCACGCCCTGCCCGGGGGGCTACTGCTACAACGGGGTCTGCCCCGTGCTGGCCCGGAGGTGCCAGGACTTGTGGGGGCTAGGTGAGGCGGGTGCCCTCCGGCTTTCGGGGGGCTGCGGGGCCCAAGCCGGAGGACTGACCTCCTCCTGGCCCCCACAGGCTCACGGGTTGCTGTGGAAACATGCTACACCTACAGCATCTCACCAGGCTGCCAGGGCAGGCTCGCCCACGGTTCCAGCAGGTGAGTGCTCATCCGTGGCCTGACTCCTCTGGGTCCAGGGCCACAGGATGTCCCTGGAAGTGGGGCTGCCCAAGAGGGTCTTCTGCACAAAGGAGTCTGGGGACTGAGTCAGAGGTTCTCCAGGGGATCCGCCCTGCCTTCCAGGACCCCCAGGCCTGAGCATCTGCCCTCATGGGAGGGAGGGTGTGTCGCTGTCGTGGGGGGTGGGGTAGGTGCCAATCAGCGGACCCTACAGCCTGTCCAAGGCTCTGGGCCTCGTTTCCTGCAGCTCCCAGGTCCTCATAAGAGGGAGGTCAGCGTGCAACAGGTGGGAGACCCAGCAGAGCTGGTTGCATGGCTTGTTCTTCTGTCCACAGAGTCAACAACTGTGGCATCCTATACTGTGAGGGTGGACAGAAGGCCCTAGAGCGGGCTTACTGCACCCTCACCTCCCACGCGGGCACTTGCAAGGCTCTTGCCCTGGAGGGAGGTGCTGGGTATGAGCCAGTACCTGAAGGCACCAAGTGTGGCGAGCAGAGGGTGAGCACCCAGAGCCCCGTCTGCTGCAGCGCATCAGCTGGTTGCAGCTTGTAGGGGCTGTGACCCGATGTGAGCCTGGACGTGCCCCGTGTGGCGGTCAGGCTGCTGGGCCCCCAGGTCCTAGACACGTGTCCCATGTAGGCGAGCCCATGTGGTCCAAGGGCTGTGCACACGGACTCCTCTGTGCTTCGGAGAGACTCAGCAGGGGCACAGGGTGGGGTGGGGGGCTGCTTAAGAAGCCGGTCCTCAGTTCCCAGGGTTTGGAGACCGTTCTGTTCTGCAAGTCCACGCCGCCCTGGGCCTCGGTGGGGCCAGTCCTGTGGCCCTGGTGGCAGCTGTGGGTTGGCCGGCCAGCAGATGGAGTGTAGGCCAGGCCAGCCTGGATGTGGTGGCCATGGCCTGCCTCCCCCAAAGCTCGCCGTGCAGGCTGCAGGTCAGCTTCAGCCGATGGTGGAAGTGGGGACACAGGTGCCAGGCAGTGGTCTAGAATGTCTGCCCTAGGAGACCCCCCACTGCCTTCCAGATTTGCTGGAAAGGACTCTGCCAGCACCTGCAAGTTTACAGATCCAGAAACTGCTCTGCCCAGTGCAACAACCATGGGGTACGTGAGCCCACGGGAGACCCCGCCACCCGCCCTCTGGGGCTGAAGGAGACGGGTAGGCCGCGCTCGAGATGAGTCCAGGCACAGCAGGGGCTGAGCCAGCGCCCTGGGGACGCGGCCAGAAGCTGGTGGGGATCAGGGCGTCCCATGTGAACACTGAGGCCCGGGGCAGTGGTGTTGGTGGACACGGGGGCCGGGGACTGGTCAGACTTGAAATGCTCTATTCTGAGATGGGGACGCGTGCAATCCGCTCTCAGGAACCTGTGTCAAGATGTGGGGACAGTCAGCCCTGAGAGCTTGAGGCACCAGGGGCTGGGGCGCTGCCCTCCCGAGCCCCTGTCTCCGAGAGCTTTGGGGACGTGCCCTGAGGACAGCCCACAGGGAGCCGCCCCCGACTGCGCCTGCCGTGCTGGCCTTGCTGTGGACACGTTGGACGTAGGCCTCGCTTGTGGCAGCCACACACGGAGGAGCCGGGCTCACGGCCCATCCTCCACCAGCTGGGGGGCACGGTGGAGTCCCTCTCCGTGAGGCCTGGCCTGGTGGCTCGGCAGCCGGTGACGGCTGCCTGGGTGTGTAGCGGCCTGATCCTCACACGCACTCACCCCCAGGTGTGCAACCACAAGGGAGAGTGTCACTGCCACCCGGGCTGGGCGCCGCCCCGCTGCACAGAGCCGCTGCCCCACGTGCACACAGGTAGGCCCGGCCGCCCTGGCACCTGCAAGCCTGCACAGCCTGATGGGGTCCAGCGCGGGTCCCATCCTTCCTCAGACCACCTGGGCAGGCCTGAGAAGGACACCACGTGCCCCCCAAGTCCCTCGGGGTATCATTAGAGATTCAGGTTTGCAGTCCTTGACCCCGGGCTTTCTGACCCCAAGGATGCAAGGCACAGCCCAGCAGCCCGTGTGGCCGCCTCGGCCCCACATGAGGCCGGCGAGAGGCCTGTCCTAGAGGGAGGGCACAGTAGTGGTGACAGCATGCCAGCCCTTTTGCTGGCTCCTCAGCCCCCTTCCGAGCGCAGGAGTCTGAGGGGCCCCCACTCCCCCAGTGTCTTCCTCTGCAGTGGCCCCTGTGCATGCAGCCGTCCGCAGCACCACGGTCTCCAGGGCCTGGCCAGACCTTGCTCACGTCACTGTGGGCTGGGGGCCAGTCACTGCCAAGCCCTCCAGCCCGTCATCTGAGAGCCCACAGCGCGGGTGTAACGGACTGGGTCTCAGCACGGAGGCTCCTCAGAGGGGCCCTGGGCTCCCGGTTCTCTGCCTGAGAAAACTGTGCCCTCCTCAGCCCCAGAGCCCTCCCGGCCCTCACTACCCTATTGACACCTGGCCTCATGCACCCCCACAGGGTCCAGGAGCCTCCTGGTGGGCGTGCTGGTATGTGTGGTGCTGCTGGTCGCTCTCCTGGCCGGAGCGGTCTTCTGCCTGAAGGCCCGGCGCCGCGTCCCTGGGAGGTGAGCCTGCTCTGGGGTTGCAAAACATCATCACGGGCAAGGGGCACTTCCCGTGCTCACACACCGTTGGGAAATGCCCCGCTGAAGTTTGAGAAGAAGAGGAACAACCCTTCACGCAGAGGGCCTTGGGGCCTCTGCCTCTCGAGGAGGGGGAGCAGGTGACAAACGTGGCTGACAAGGGGACGTAAACCCAGAGAGAGCCCCTCCATCCCCTAATCAGTGCCAGAGCACTCGGGATGACATGGGCTCTGCCCCTGGTGCGCAGCTACGCTCAGCTGCCATGGGACCTCACCCCTTCTTGCCGGTTGCAGGACACACCCAGGAGCCCCTGAGTCCCTGGGCCAGACCCTGAGGCCAGGACACACTGACCAGTCTTGCTTTCTCCCCAGGAACACGGCGCCCAAGACTGCCAAGGGGCTCTCCAACCCCCTGTTCCACGAGGGGCACAGTGTGCCAGCCAAGGGTGGGGCTCCGGCCCCCACCACCCACTCCAGCGAGCCCGCCAGGCCCACGGCCTCAACAGTGACCCCTAAGCAGCCGCCCCCTGCTGTAAGCACTGCATCCCGCCATCCCTAGGCCATCCCTGATCCCTCCCAACAGGGCTTAGAGCTGCCCCACCTCCGTGACGCAGGCTTTACGGGTGGACAGTCTGAGAACCCACACTTAAACCCGAGGCTCTCGGCCTCTGCAGGCTCGGTTGGAAGGTGTTAAGGCCCAGATACCCTCTGTTGCTGCCCAGCACCTTCGGGCCCCTCCACAACAAGGCTGAGGGAAGGGAGTGTGGGGGTCGCACCTGGGCTCAGGCCTTGGGGGCCAACGGGGTGGGGCAGAGCCCTGCATGCGCACACTTTAGTCTTCCTCCTCTGGGAGGGGTGGGAACCTTGGGTCCTGAGCTGGGGGCACAGCTCCAAAGCCAGACTCCCTGGAGGCAGCCTCCCTGTGAGACCCAGGCTCTCCACCCTGTTCCCCTCTAGCCTCCAGCCACCATGTCCAACCCTCCCTTCACTGTTCCTGTGTATACCTGGCCGCCCCCAGACCAGGTGAGCAGCAGTGGGGCCCAGCAGCCAGGCCATCTGGGGGCACCAAACGGGTCCTAGGCGGGGAGTGCAAGGGCTGGGGGCTGGATTTGGTGGGCTGGGGACCCTGGGACAGCTGTGGCCACACTCATAAGGCTGATGGCCCCGCCCCGAGGGCCTGACTGCCTACCCTCCCTCCCAACAGCTCCGCCCTGCTCCTCCTGCCAAGCCCCTCCCTGAACTGAAGCCCAAGCAGGTGAGAAGCCTCTGCCACTCAGGAGACTCGGCCCGTGCCCTTCCCTGGCTGCCGGCCCTTCCATGGCTAGACCCGGTGGTGTCCTCAGCTTCCCTTTGGAGCTCAAGTCTGGAGATGCTCCGAGAATGCGCTGCAGACGACTCCTTCCGCTGTGACCCCCAGGGTCTGCGTCCATCCAGAGGCCCTGCCGGCAGCAACCGTTACTCTGCTGTTTGCTTCACGAAGATTCTCTCCTTCCTTTTTAACTTTTTGAACTAATTTTAGGCTTACAGCAAAGCCGCAGAAATAGCCTTAGGAGGGGTTTTGACAGCAAAAACAGGGGCAAAGGGGCAGAAAGGGGTCTAGCCAAGGAGTGACGATAGCCAGCCAAGGCTACAAGGGAGCTGTGCTGTGCCCACCAAGGGTCTTCCCTGGGGGGCGGGGGTGTGGCCAGTGTTCCCGTTGGGCCTTCCCTTCCTCCACCCCAGATCCTGGGGGCACCTGTCCTGCCAGCCCAGAGAAAGCTGAAATGCAAACAGATGCAAAGTTTAGTGGTTAATTGTTTAGTGGTTAATTCTTGGCTTTTGAACCTCCAAAGACCCACATTCTGGCCATTTAAGAGCTTTTCTTGGGAAACCCTGGGGTAGGGTGGGGTGGGTCGCTCAGGGAGAGGGGGAGGTGGTGAGGTAGGTTGTGGCTGATGGGCCCAGGAGGGGGTTCTGCCACGTTTGGGTTTGATTCTGCCCCAGCTGGGGGCACTTTGTCGAGAAGCCTGCAGGGGGGTCAGGAACAGAGTGGACCTGGGGAACTTTGCTAGGAGATGCTGGGGAAGACGGGGCATTCAGTGGTGTCCAGCGTCCACTGTCTGTGTCCTCCAGGGTGTGAAGCCGACCTTCCCACCCCCGCTGCCACCGGTCAAGCCTGGGGCTGGAGGGGCCAACCCTGGACCCATGCAGGTGAGCCTCTCTCTCCCAGGGCGCTGGGCAACAGGGTGCGCAGTCTCCCCGGCTGGCTGGCTGAGGCACCGTCCTGAGGGGGACACGGTCCCCCAGGTTTGTTTCAACATCCACTTGACACTGTCGGGACTTTTCAGGGGGCCGCTCCTGTTGGCTGTGAATCTTTTCCTCCTGTTAGTACAAGGGAGACAGTGTAGGGTTCCCAAGGCTTAGCTGCTGATCTTGTGGCCACAAGTGTGAGCAGCATGACTCCATGTGGCGTGAGCGGCGACCTACGTTTTAGGAAATGCAAAAGGAAGTATGATTCACTTGTGCTCTTGGTAGCAGATCCGTTTTAGCATCGGTTCTTTTTCTTCCTCCGAGGGCGCCGCTGGTCCGAAGGCTGCTCTGAAGCCCCCGGTGCAGAGGAGGTGACGCGGGGCTGCAGGCGCTGGGCCTGGGTGCGGCCTGAGAAGTGCTAAGAAGAGCCGGGCCGACTCCCCTCTCCCACCGGCCGGCCACCCCCGCCCGGGACCCCCGGCCTTCTGCACTGCGCCCCCCCGGGGGTCCCGCGCCCCGAGGGGCGGCTGCGGCCGGCCGCCGCTCTGGAAGCAGCACCCCCCCGCCCCGGCCCCGTCCGCGCAGCAGGGCCGAAACTGCAATGAAGTGTATTTTCTGATTAAGCTATTGATCAAGTTCTAAATAATCGGAGATTTTTATTAAATCGATGTTAGAGTGTAAAAGAACGCGGGATACAATTTATAACACGTTAAGGGCTCCGTGCTCGTCAAAGCGCGCGCTGGAAACCGACGAGGCCCAAATTCGACCTTCTCTCCTGGACCTTAGCAGGACCCCTCCCCACCGGAAGTCAGCCGCCCAAGGGCGCTGAGGCAACGGCCCCAGCGCCGCGTCCCGCCGCCCCGCCCCTTCCGGCCCCCGCCGCTATCCGGCCGCCGTCACCCGGCAACGGCCCCAGCGCCGCGTCCCGCCGCCCCGCCCCTTCCGGCCCCCGCCGCTATCCGGCCGCCGTCACCCGGCAACGGCCCCAACAGCCAGTCCCGCCGCCCCGCCCCTTCCGGCCCCCGCCGCTATCCGGCCGCCGTCACCCGGCAACGGCCCCAGCGCCGCGTCCCGCCGCCCCGCCCCTTCCGGCCCCCGCCGCTATCCGGCCGCCGTCACCCGGCAACGGCCCCAACAGCCAGTCCCGCCGCCCCGCCCCTTCCGGCCCCCGCCGCTATCCGGCCGCCGTCACCCGGCAACGGCCCCAACAGCCAGTCCCGCCGCCATGCGGGGCGCAACTGGGCCGAGCGCGCGGTCCCCGCCGCGGCCTCTGCGCCTGGCTGGACGGGCTCCCGCTCAGCCGCCCCAAGCGCCACCTGGCCCGGGACTTGAGCGACGGCGGTGAGGGCGGGCCGGCGGGGAGACGCCGGGACTGCCGAGGCCGGGGTCCTTGGCGGGAGGACCGAGGGCTTGGGGGTGCCCGGCCGGGCAGGGTGGAGGCCGCAGGGCCGCCCGTCAGCAGGCTGAAGGATGCCCAGCGGTCAGACCGCAGGGCCCGGCCCGTGCCTGCGAAGCGTCCCAGCCGCGCCGGCGCCCTGCAAGTGCAGGAGACCCCAGAGCACGGGCGTGAGGGGCGCTCCGGAAGCAACGGGCCGGCCCCTGGAGGAGGAGCCACGTGGCAGACAGGCGCCGCCTGCTGCGTCCCCCTGCGGCCGGGGAATGCCCCTCCCCCAGCATTTCCTGGGGAGGAGGGGGCAGCCTCAGGGCTGCTCCTGCAGCCCCTCCGACCCCAGGCCGGCTCGCCCAGCCCTCTCCCGGGCACCCACACGCTGCTGGGGGACCTGCAGGCTGGCCCCTGTGGCCGCTCCCCCAGGACGTGGACTGTCCCGAGTTCTCCCGCCTGGTCTCTGTCCTCCTCCACCTCGGGCGCCCTGGGAGACTGATGTGTAAGGAAAGGACTTCTAAGCTCATCAGGCCGGGCTGACCTTGCACCCCCCCGCGCCTCCAGTGACCTTGCACCCCCCGCGCCTGGCGGAGATCGTGAAGCACTTCTACCCCCGGCTTGTGGATCTGCACAGCTATGTCCCCACCTGCAACACGGACCAGAAGCTCAGCAACTGGAGCATTTTAACAGGCAGGCCTTGTGCCTCCCCGCCCCACTCCTTGCTCTCCCCTACCCCTCCTGGTCTCTGGGGCACGTTCTCAGGCTGTTTCCCTGACAACCTTGTCAGTGTTTGTGTCCCCTGTCCGCTGGAGTCTCACCATCAGCCACCAAGAGGACAGCACAGTCAGCTTGAGACCCACCCACCAGGGCGTCAGTCCTGCCCTCCGACTGTGCTCAACCCATGCTGACCGCACCTCTCACTCACTGACTCACCAGTAATTCTGGGTGGCAGGCTCTGCTCTGAGCCCCTGCCTTCATGGGGTTGACACTCTGCCTAGTGGGAAGACAGATAAATGAGATGTAACCAGCGTCAGTCGTGATGGGTAATAGGAAGGACAAGGACCCTGAGGAAGTGACAGCAGAATGAGGTGTGGGTGACCAAGGGGGGCAGCGGAGGCTGCCCTGGGGAGCAGGGAGCAGGGTCCCTGTGCTCCTGAAGCTGGATGGGGAGGGGAGCTGAAGCTGCCCGGGGCCCCTGGAGGCCATGGTCAGGACCTGGCTCCGAGCCTGACGGGGATAGAAGGGACTGCGAGGTTGAGACCTGGGCAGGTTCTGGTAGGACTCATTTCAGAGAGCTGTGAGGGAAAAGGCGACTTGGGGGGAGGTGGAGGCCGCTGCTCAACCCCAGGGGTGAGAGGGGGAGGCTCTAGGGCTGATGAGAAGTCTGATTCTGAGCACTTTGGAGGGGAGCCAGCAGGACTTCCTCACCAGAAGGTGAGCTCTCCCACAGAGGCCCAGGCTGGGCCAGGCCCGGCCTGAAGGCGCGGGGCACTGACTACTCTGGCCCCGGATGGGACGGCTGGGAACAGGGTGGTTGTGGGGCTTCTGTGGGTGCAGGGGCAAGAAGGCACACGAGTCCCAGCCTCTCCTCCAAGGAAAGCCAGACCCACCTCCTGGCCCCACAAAGTGCACTCCTCTGAGGACTACCCCCACTTCCTTTGCAGGAAAGTCTTTCACAAGCTGCGTTTGTGGGTCTCAGAAACGGAAATCCGAAGGGTGGTGGACAAAACACGCCTGGGGTCATCAAGCCCATCTTGTGTGCACTGAGGGAAACGGTGAAGGATGGCGCTGTCCAGCAAGCCCCGCTCTCTACACCCGTACGTGTTGGGGCCATTGTATGGCCTTCGACCTGCCGCGTTTGTCATGCTGGAATGTGGCCACGTAGTGATGAAGGCCTTGCACACCCGCGACCCTGGGGGGCAGACTGGTGAAGCCCCAGCCCTTGGCCCTTTCCTGGCCTGACCCACTGGCCCCGGGACGGTGAAAACTCCCTGTGCCCAGGCCAGCCCGGGCCATGCTGGCTCCTCTCCAGTTTGCCCCCCCACCATCTGTGCCTAGAAACACAGGGAGGTATGTTGGCAACATGAACGATGAGCAGCCCCTCCTCGGCCGGCCCTCACTGTACAACCTTTAAAACCTTTGCAGGATCCAGAACCCACCAGGGCTAATGCTGACAGACCATGGGCAGAGCTCACCACCCCAGCACACACTGGTAGTATCCAAATCCCCAGGTTTGGGGAACTGAGGCTCGTCACAACCCCCTCGGGCCTCCCACGAAGGGCAGTGTCAGACGAGGCATGTGGCTCTCTCGAGTTCACACCTCCAGGAGGGGGGGTCCTTGCTCTGAGGGGATGGTCAGGGGAGTCCTGGCTCCAAGGCCCCCCAGGCTGCAGCTTCCCGAGTGGGAGCCCGCCGCCCTGCCCACAGTCCATGAGGGGGCCATTCCGAGGCATCCAGGGCTGTACTGTGGGATGGCCTCAGGCCAGAGGGCACCTGCGTGGTGCCTCTGTGGGCTCCGTGCCCGCCCCCCCCCCCCCCCCCCGCCCGCCCTGTGCTGTGGCCGGGTCAGCCTCTTCCCTGAGCTCCTGCGTCTGCTTATCTCACAGGCCTGCCGTACCCACGGCACCCTCCAGTGTGAAGACCCTCCGGAGTCCGAGGACTCCAGAGAAGACAGGCCCCTGTCTCCTGACCTCAGCCGCTCCACTGTAAGCTACCCCCACCAGCCCTCTGGGTTAAAGGCTGGGTGTTTGCCTTTCGGTCAGGACCCAGCCGGTGGGTGCTGGGAGCACCTGGACCCCAGGCTGCAGCAGCAACTGGAGGAAAAGGAGCAGGCTGGGGCCGTGCTGCAGGAGATGGTCAAGGTGCAGTGACCTGGGTGCCCCTCAATGCCCAGACACCCCCCAGGAGGCAGGGGGGCTGCCTTCCCTTCTGGGAAGCCGGGACCCAGTGTGGGTGTGGCAGTAGGTGGGGCGGGCAAGGTCCCTGACCAGGGAGAACCCACAGTTAGTTTGACTATTTAGAAAACAGCTTAACTGTGGAACATTCCAAACATACCCACAAGCAGAGAGAAGAGTATGGTGGACCTCCATTCCCCATGACTCACCACCACCCAGCCTTGGCAGTTATCAGACCCCAGGGCCCACGGGGACTATAGACAGTCACAGGTGCCACCACCCAGAGGTGCTGGATCACAGGCCCCAGGGCTGGGGGCTGAGTCAGGGAGCAGAAAACACCCCCCAGCCCAGGGCCTATGCCTGGTTCCGCAGGTGCTCGGCTCTTCCTCTGCTCCTTCACTAAGGGTCTGCAGTGTTCCTGGGTTCAGGAAGTGCTCCGGTCCCTCACTGACATAGAGAGGGGGCATCCCCACCCCCACCCCTGTGGGAACGCAGGCTGCAGGTTTGGACCTGAGACAGTGCAGGGAGGGTGGGGGTGTGCAGTCG